CGAAGCCTCGCAGCAAAGCCCGGCGCCAGCCCGGCAAGGTCGGCCAGAGCCCCAGGGGTAAGGAGGCGCTACCTTACACCAAGGACATCCAGCGCTGTGTGCTTTCACCCTGTGCCTGTCGCGCCACTTTGCTGGTTTGCTACTGGCTTCATAAGATTACAAGAGAATTTGGTTATTAAAGCTTGAGATACAGCTTTTTTAAAATTCCTTCTAAGCTCCTATAGACCTGTACACTGCACAACCAAATCCATTTATTAACAACACCAAAATTGCTGAAATAAACCCAAAGTGCAACCAAAACTACCGCAAATACCCCGATGGTTTAAAAAAAGAAATAGATAATAAGGTGCAAAATGGTGAAACGCATGGTTTGATACTCCACACCTGTACTCTGCCCCTCACAGGGGAATTGGGATTTCGGAAACACACCCATCTTTTCTTCCTCCCCTTATTGATCCAAATAGATCATGACCAACAGGGCTGTCGCACAAGGGTGGAGCCAACAGGAAACACCATTTTCGCCACTGCTGTCAACAGCAACATTATGGGTTGTCCCTTGAAAATACATTAAATTGACAGGCAGCTTTTTTCTTCAAATTAATAGAAGTCAGATGCAGCTCAAAATGAAGAAAATTAAGCTAAAAATGAAGCTGCGGCTTCATTGCCACTGCCTCTTTTGATTGTTGACATCCTCATTGTTTAGCAAATCCTTGCTTGGAGTAGGGCCCAGACACCCTCTAATCCACCCAGGGCTGGCTTGAGCTCTTGAGCTCTGCTCACTACTCCCCACCTCATACCCCCCTGCAGTCTCCTGTGAGCCCATTCCTATTCCCTCTTCCTCCGGTTTAGTAGTTTCCAATTTAAATTTTATACTCTAAAGTAATGTGGAGGCTTCAGCAGAACAGCCTGTGGTGTGGAGCCTGCCTTCCCCATCATGGCAGGGGATCTTCAAGTGCTCAGGAAGCAGCTAACGCCAGGCAACGCTCCGCATCCCCCATCCTACCATTCCCTTGGAGGTAATGCAGATGGACAGCCATCCCTGTCGCTTCTCCCTGCACCGATCACTCCCGAGGCATTTGTACCAGGTATCAGCTAGGATCCCGCTGAAATCCACTTGACAGCCAGGGGCACGCTGAGCTCATTGTGATTTTGGTGAGCCACGACATGCAGAAAATGGAGTAGAGCACATGGAGTAAAAGGGCTAAATTCTGAATGCAGCTGTACAAACCAAGGTGAGATACGTACGGACAATCCATGGTCTTTGTGACCTGCTCATAATCCACATCACCTATTGCCAGCTCTGGCACACAGCGAGGTGCATAGCAAGCTACAGTCTCATAGTAGAGGCCGAAAGAAACTGCCTGCGGTTGCACAGCTATTTCTTTTTCACCACTTCTTGCTTCTCCCCAGCCTATATACTCACTTTCGTATCAGCTTTGAGCTTGTTACATGAAGAACTTACTCCATCCTCCTCCAGTCTAATGACAGGACATCAGAGAATGTTAAAATCCTGTATTAGGCTTTATTCTTTTATATAAACATTAACATTTCTCAAACAGATTAGTTAAAAATACAGATTTAAACAAGAATTTTTGCAATTGCAATGAGTTATAAAAAACAACAGATTATTTTACAGATTGTTGCAAGTGTTTTACAAAGGTGCAGAGTGAAGGCCAGTGGCAGGGGACCAACCTCAAGTGCAAAATGGACACAATACCCTTACCACGGGCATAGTGCTCATATACACAGCCAAAAAAAAAAAAAACAAACAACCAACAAACAAACAAACAAAAAAGAGCCATGTGAACCTAGGCTCTTGGGATGCTCACCGGGCAAGCAAACATAGACCCCTATGACAGAGAAGACTCATGAGACCAAGCTACCAGGATACTTAAAGTTACATCTCTGAGATCAGCCGTAAGATGTTGTTTCTTGGAAAATAAGGAACATGTTCTACAACAGTGTATTTCTCTCCTGTCAGACAAAATATTGCTGTAAATCCTAGAATACTTATGGATGTGGATACTTAAGAACTTGGGGCATAAATCCAGTGTGGATCTCACAGTGCCCAAAAGTGAATAAAGGATACAAGACCCAAGTGTCCTTCTAAAGCAGCTGGCACTCCTCATACAGGAGGGACCTCCATATCCCATGACCATCACCAAAACCTTGAGCAAATACCTTGGAAAGACTTTGGCAAAAGGAAGAAGACACAAGTGGATCTGGTTACACCCAATATTCCTGCAGCCCATGCTTACGCAATGCCCACATAGCTCACTAAGTGCAGTGTGTCCTCTCTCCTTGGCCGATATATCTTCACGCCCACCTTGGAACACATACCACATGCTCCAAATTCTTGGAAGTTTTTGAGATCCTTCTACCACACCTACCTTGCCTAGGTACCAGTTCTTCCCACCTATCTTTCTTCTATTCCACCCCTGATTTGTTTTGAACTAAAGTTTTCCAGCTGTTAGCAAATCAAAGGTACAGTGAACTGGCTGAGAACCACCATGAGATACAACTGTGGTGTTTTACATTAAAAAAAATCCACTACTTTATGCCTGACATCTTTCCGATGTACAAATGTTCCCTACCCAGAGGGCCTCCCTGTTAGACAAAGGGCACTACGCATTAGAGTAATCCAAAGGAGGGCCAGAATGAAAGGGCAGCTCTAGAGATGAAGTCTCATAATAACGAAATAACAGCTACTTCTCTTGGAATCGTAAAGGGCAGCGCATACAAGAGATTTTATTTATAGGAAACCCAGTGAAACCCCTAGAACATCCACATTGACTTCCCTGAGCTCCTCAGATCCAGGTACACTGGGGACCCTGCAGAAGCCTTTTGAGCTGGGTTTACTCTCAATAGAGAGGGTTTGGCAAGTTCCTGCAAATTCACTTTCATAATCAACAAGAGAGGAGAGGATCAACGGGCAAGCCCTCGAGACATGCTTAAGGAGAAAGACTCTGAAGAAAGAGGTGTATGTGTATGGGGGGAAGGTCTTCATTTCTACTGTTTTCAGATGTCTCATGTTATTCCTTTGGGGTATGGGCACTACCTCAAAACCAACCCCCCCCATCTGATCTACCCCAGCTGCCTCCTGCATAGTCTCATGACAACATTGAAACCCCAGGCGCATCAATCCCTGCGCTGTCTAGCCCAGAGTTCAGTGCTTTGGAGAGGGGAGGCTGGCTTCTCGTTAGCAAAGGCTGGGAGATGGCATTATGTCGGCATGTCAGTGCCCTGGGAGCATGCAGTCACTCATGCACATCCCAGATTTCTGAAAGCAGGGGAGGGAGTTTCTTGTCCTGCAGCCGAAGGGCAAACACCTGTTCGGAGTGGACACTACTTAGTGTCCGAAGACTGACCAGCTTCATTAACATCCGTGGAAACATCAGGCGGTCCTGCAGAGTCAGACAAATAGGCAGCTGTTAGTAAAGTCTCACTAAAATTTTTTTCAAAAAAAAATTACCACACCAGATGATTCATTGTAACCACAATCCCGACTTCCTTTAAACCCAGCATTCTCCAGGAGGTGGCAATGGGGAGGAACACGAATACTACACCATGTCCCAACACTCCAGACTTTCCATGCTGGCTAAACCATGGAACGTGATACAGAACAGCAGGCTATGACAGCTCACAAATCCTACATTGACAGCTGCTACCAAACAGCCACAGAAGGGAAGAACATGACAGTACAGGCAGCAAGAGACCCATTACAGACAGTACTGCAAGAACTGTGCCTGCATAAACATAAAATCAGTTTGCATCATTGCTGCGGAAGTTCTGGTCAGGCACTTACATTTGGTCTGTTGATGCAAATGTAAGAATGAAGGGCTTCCACGTAGGTGTGCTGCAGCCTCTCCACCAGGGACTGGTCCTGCACATTCGGTCGGTCTGCCAAACAGCAGGTTAGAAGTAAGCAAATTGCCACAGGCAGCTTCACTGGACTTGACAATCCTGCATAAGTCCAGTCCTTCAGTATGGTCTCTCCCCAAAACCTCAGCTAGCATTCATCCAGCACAGCTGAGAGAGTCATCCATGACTGCAGCAGCTATGTCAGTTTTGTGTAACTGTTCTTTCTCAGTGATGTCTACTGCACATGGGGAGTCCGATCCGACTCCTATAGAGATGGAAGGTTAGAGACACCAAACAGCACTGTATAAGTGTGTTTGGTCTCACATTCCTGTCCCAACGAAGATGAGAAGCTGCCCGTTTAGGAGGGAATGGGAAAGTCTCTCCAGCAGCCGAACCAGTTAGAAAACAGGAAAAAAAAAAATATTCCATCTTTCAGGTCACAAGACAGAAAACAGAAGTAAAGAGTAGAGGTGGGTTCTGTGCAAAAAAACCCTGTCCAGGCCCAGAGCCATACTGGCCTCACATCCAGAGCATCTTTACTTGACCACTAGATGTCACTCATGCTGTGTGACCTGCATCACACTGGAGAAGCCAAGTACATTAAGCAGACAGTAAAATAGCAATTTCTAAATGAGGAAGATAAATACTGGCCGATTTTTCTGTACATTTTTCCAGCAGTGGGGAATCTGATTTCCTCTGGAGGTGGCACTAGAAAATTCAGTATATAATGAATACCCCTAAGCAGAAGTAGTAACACACTCCATTTATCACTAGACCCTATACACCATTTATTACTCCTCTTCAGCATGTGACCTTCCTTAACTCTACTTTCCTTGCCCTCTGACTCACTGCTGCAGCTCTTCAGAGCTCCTGGCTTTTTACCTGCAGAGAAAATGTTGATGGCAATTAAAAGTGCATATTCAGCATCGTTGAGCTGTAGCTCATTCATTCCCTTTGAGAACTCGAAGATGGGGTTAATGAACTCAAACTGTAGACCTGCAACAAACAGAAGAGAACAAGGTGAGGCAACAACAATTGTCTCCTCTCTCCCCCTCCCTCTCACAGAATAGGCTGCCAGTAACCCACCACAGTATGGCAGGGAGCGGGGAGGACAGGCAGGCAGGGAAAAACCCTTACATTGTGTTCCCAGTGTGGCCAAAACCTCCCTTTACACCCCACCACCACTGGTGAGCACCAACAACACTGGCTGAGAAGTCAGGCTCTAACTGTAAAATGATGCTATTTCTGTGTTTTCTTAGAGCCTTAAATGCCCCACAGCACATTACTAGGCAACAGCTAAAGGAACACGACATCAGCTATCAGGTAAGTCCATCAAAAAGTCAGAAGCCCATGAGTACAACATCCACACTTTCCACTCTCACACCATCACCTCCTTCAAACCCAGCAGCCCGTTTGGTTTCAAAGAAAGCTTTAAACCCATGCTCCAGATTCATCTCAAGTCTGTCTGAGCTGAAAATACATAGTTCCAAGAAGTCTGAACTATGCCATTTCCTTCAGCTCAGAAAGCTGGGAGAGCTGAGGCAGAGCCTGATGTAGGCTTCCAATCACCTCCTTTGATAAATGCAGTCAGGCAGAAATGCATTGGTATTTACTGTCATAACATACAGAGGCCACTGTCAAATCAGGTCTCTGTGCTATGTGCTATACAATCATGCTGAAAACTTTAGGTCTTTCCCCCAAAACAGCATCCAAGTTTCTAATTTCCTGCAGTACAACTTGGAGAAGGATGAACAAGATGGAGGGAGTCTTTATGGGTGCCTGCTTTTTGCCTTCCTAATAATCTGAAGCAAGGTCTTCTTTTCAGAAATGCTGAAGATACACACTTCCTGTTACTTCATCTAAAATTACAGACACTCATTGCTCTTGGAAAAATAGACTAAAGCCATCTCAAGTATAAATGGTGAAAGAGCTACCCAAGGAATCAAAAAAAACCAAAAAAAAAAGTCACATGAATGACAGCCAAGGTCTTCTTTTCAGAAATGCTGAAGATACACACTTCCTGTTACTTCATCTAAAATTACAGACACTCATTGCTCTTGGAAAAATAGACTTCAAAAATCACATCACTGCAGACCACTGTACACTGAGCTGATGACACGCCTAAAGCACTCTGTGGGGATACTGCACTCAGAGTGCACCATATAGACGTCATATCAACTGAAATGTAATCACACTGATGTCATCACTCAAAGCATGCATCCAGATTAGCAAGTGATATACTTGCAAAGGAGAAAAGACTGTGGTTTGCTTTGTTGTGATCTGATACAGCTCTAAGACCACATGTCCACATCGGATCTCTACCAGCAAGGAAGTTCACACCAGCTGCTAGCCCTGCGTGCACTCTTACAAGCAAGATTATCATGCTCTAAGAGCCCAAATTTTCCAAAGCAAGTTCACCCCTAAAGACAGACATGAAATGTTAAAAGAAAAAAGGTTTGCGTGGATATCAGTCTGGTCCTGTTCTAAACCTCCCACCTGACTTCATCTTTAAGGCCCCACATACTATTTCCAGCAGCCCACATTAAAAAGGAAAAGGTGAAGGAACACAAGACACAGGGAAGGAAGAAACACCTGTCTAATGCACCACCTGCTTTGGCGAAGTCATCCCGATTATAGCTCAGGTCCTTAAGAAAGGTGATGCTCTCAATCTCTGGATTGTATCGACGAGATGTCTCCAACAACATCACCTAAGACCAGAAATAGATATACTTGATTTGAAAACAGGAAAGACTGTTACAACACTGATAATTTGCTGACTGTCAGAGCATCTCTGAAAACAAAAAACCCACCCAAACAAAAACCCTCCGAGCAGTTTCTCTCAAGAGAGCTTAAAAAATCCAAGGTAAATTCTCCTTCATCCTTTGCGGTGTCTGCTTCTGGGAAGGGGGAAATACCTGCTTACCACTACCAAGGCTCTTGCCTCATTCTCCTCCATGGCCCTTTACCAGTATAGCCTGGCACTGCAGTAATGGTCCCATAGCTGATTTCCTTCAGCCTGCCATCCCAGAAAAAGGGATGGAACCAGTTCTCCAGGTGGGTTCTCGAAATTCTTTCACCTCTGCTACTATGTATTGTGGTGGAGCCAAACTCTTACCTCTATGGTAGATGTCTTCAACAAAGCAATCTGATCTTCCCTGGTGAGCTCCAGGAAGCCAGGCAGTTGCTTGGCAAAGTCCACAATCTCTTGCACAGAGATAATTGCAAGTTCCGTAAAGTGAGCAAAACGCTGCTGCCTTGCTTCACGGTTATTAGGGTCAGGAACTTGGGGCCACGGCTGTGGGAATGGAAAGAGACAGCGTATACATGTGAAAGATCTAGTCAGGGCAGAAAGATGAAAAGATGAAGTGAACAGAGAAAGAAAATTAGACACACTGGAACATCATCCTTTGCTATTATTTACAGAACTTTAGCCCACGGATGCAATGCCTAAAGTATCTGTGCTCTCCCAAATAATTTAGCCACAACCCTGACTCCCCAAACTTCACTTTTTAGTATTTTGAGTACACTGGTAGAGTTTTTACCGTCACTTTAAGCCTGTCTGTGAATGAGCGCTGGTTGCACTGCTGCTGAGCGGCCACAAGTTTTTTTATCATGCTCAACTGTTCAGGTGTCAGTTTGTGAGAAGGGCTTGGTGGATTCGGAGGGTTTGGACGCATCACAACTGTGCGAGCCTGATCATCTTCCTGCTTCTTCAGTTTCTTCAGTCGGATCTGTTCTTCAGACAGAACATCTAAAGCAGGAATAGCCAGAGATCAGTCATGGCATACGAGCACACTGGAAACCACACTAAACACAGGGTAACATGCCGTGGATGGAGAGGCAGAGATCACAGCTGCCTGTATCTGGTATTTCTGAGTGTATGCAATGCAGGCAGCTGTACTTATCATTTGTTTTTCTCTCTCGTTTCCCCACTTTTAAGTTGTTCCATTGCCTTTCTTTTAATCACACTGTCATGCAAAGTGTTCACAAAGGACAGACACTCCCTTCATGAGGCCCTGCAGATCTCAGAAAGACAACAGCGACTTTCCCCACTGAGCAATTCCCCAAAATGTCACATTATGACAGATTCCAACAGGTGCTCTCTTCATGGTGCGTCCACTGTATTTTACGTTATCCTGCTGTTGCGTCTTTTCTAATATTGCTAAGTTAACAGCTTGCGTCATTTCTTCTTACTCTTGAGAGGTCAGAGTCAGTACTGGATGGAGGTCCAGAGTGAAAGCACAATTTTCTATGTACCCATCTGCAGCAGATGGTAGAGTAGTAACATACCACAAGATAAATAATGAAAGAATACTTTTGCATAGAACGTACTGAGGACTGCAAGTCCTTCAGGAATAGGGCTAGAAGGCTTTTTCAGTCATGAAGTGAAAGGATATGCCATTTAGATGTAACATGGTAAGGAACAGAACAACTCAGAGGCATGTGTTGTGAAAAATCCTATTGGACCAACTGCTCATTAGTTAACTTAAATACAAAAATCTGTTAAAGGCCTGTAATTAAGATAACTGAAGAATTCACTGATTTGAATGTAGAGGAGGTTTGTTGTTTCTTTAAGTCAAACCTGCAAAACCAATTGCATCCAATAGAAAGGAAACTACCAGATACACCTGGATTCAAGGATTACCTTCAAGAGAACCGTGCTGTGAGTTAGTGATGAATGAATAAAAAGCAGAAGAGGGACTGACTGGAAAAAAACAAACCGTATCTTCAGCAACAAATATAAAAAAAAATAACGCTTGATTTTGCAAACAAGATTTAAGAGTGCTGAAAGATTCTTTGTCCATTTTTTATGCACAGGTAACGAGGAAACATGGCTGCTACACAGGAAGGCAGGCCCCCAAACTGAACAAGTATATACTTGCACTTGTCAAAAGAATCGTGCTAAACATGAATACAAGAAATGGAGAACTACTGCGAGAGAGCATTCTGAAACAGACAGTCCGTGGGATTGGAGGGAAAGACAAAGAACATAGTGCATTCAAGATGAGAGTAACCTTTATCCCCGATTTACAACAAGGAGTATGCACGCACAGGTACACACATGCACAAAAATTACAATTCTAACAGCAAAGACAGTTACCAAATTAAGGGGGATCTGCAAGATTAGAAAATGGTAGTCACAGTGTTAGTTTAAGAAGGGAAGTAATTGATCCAAGTGATTACAGTCCCTCATCTTGGGACTCAGATGCACAAAGCGTAGCCGAGTAACAAGGTACCAGATATTACTGAATCTTGGAAACTGCCTATGTGCAAGCTTCTACACCATGCTAAATTCAAAGCAATCCAAGTCACTTGGTTTGCCATGAAGGAACTACTTAACATCACAGTTCACACTGGCTTAAGAACAATAAACTAGCCATGAATAACTTCAGCCTAGGAATTAGAAATGTTTCCAACAATCACTAGAGGGAAGTTCTGAAATGACCTCCAAGTGAAACAGCTAAAGGAAAAATCCCTCAGTTTCTGTCAAGATTAACAAGGCAAATTTGCAATGGGGATTACAGTGTCAACAGAATTGCCAAGCACTTGATAATAACAACCCAAAGATTCCTTTTGGCCTCATTTTCCTGAGCTGCCTTCAACATAAGACAATGTGCAAATGCAGAAATGCATTGAGGCTCTAACAGTATCTACCTGCAACAGAAGAGTAGCAAGGTGGACAGGTAGCCTTGCTACATAGCTTTTCAACCACATCTGTTTTGTAGCTCTCAGGAACAGGGGGAAATTGGGCAAAGACAGCATATGTAATGCTGATACAAACCAGTGTGACAAAGACACTGATTACATACGTTAAGTGTGCCGTGTTTCATGTTGAAAAAACTGAAAAGCATGTGTCCTTTGTGCAGCTCAGCGGGATGTACTTTTTGCAGAAGTATTTTTAGAGACGTTTCTGAAATACCCTCTGTTTCTCACTGTTCTGGGTGCTGGATGTCAGAAGGGGAGAATTCACACATATTTAATATTAACTGAGCATCCATTCGGTCAGTCTTGGCCAGCAAGAAGATGGAACCCAGATGCCTTAGCCAAGGAGGGCTGTTGCTGCTATGTGAGCAGGAACATATTGTTGAATATTCAGAAACAGCAGCCTTATGGCTCCTGTGAGAAAAATAGCAGAGTTCACTGCAGGGAGCAACAAGATCGGGCCGGCACAAACAAACACAGCTGCAGTGCTGCGGTGCTGCCCTTGACCTCTGTCACAAGCTTACAGTACAAGGCAAAGTAAAGTGCCTGCTGTTCAAGGAGCATGGTGACCAACTGTGCGGTCCTGATCACAAGATGGACAGAAGCCCGAGTTTACCGATACAGTTGACAGCATACTGAAGAACACTTAAATCTTAGTTGCAAGTCTTTCCTCTGATGTCATATCCACGAATTCTTACAAGGAATACAGCAGGGCTGGGGCTCTCAGCACACCGGTGTTGTTCCACTAACAGCCTCACCTCTCCTCGTGATCCCTGCTAAGCTCTCAGTGACTTCCCACACACATTCCAGTATGCCACCCGCATGGCTCACATGTGACGCCCAAACACTCACACTGCCCCCACTTCCTTACACCCATCAGCCTCCAGCGCTCCCGCATGCCCGCCTCCTGGCACTTGCGCAGCCGGCACTCCTGACACTTGCGACGCATGTACATGTCCATCTCACACTTGCCACCGTTCTTGCAGACGTACTGTGCACCCTTGATGACGCTGCGGCGGAAGAAGCCCTTGCAGCCTTCACAGCTCAGCACATTGTAATGGAAGCCAGATGCCTTGTCCCCACACACGCTGCACACTTCATTTCCCAGCATCTTAGGGGCTGGGCCCTTCTTCCGCTTCAGGGGGGGATTTTCTACCGAAACAAACAGTATGGAGGAAAAGGGAAAAAAAAAAAACAAAAAACAAACACAAAACAAAACAAAACACAAAACCCACACACATGAGGGAAGCATAGTGTTTGCAGCTGACTGCCCCGTTCCTTACAATAACCAATATCCTCACTCAAACCCACTATCTCCAAAACACATGGATGAAAAGATCAATTCTCCCATTTCACAGACTCTCCCTCTGGGCAAGCGTATCTTCTGCAAACCACTGACATAATCTAAACAGTTTCACCTCAACTATGTAAGCACATATAGCATCGTGCTTGTTCCCCTCCAAAGGTTTGGCCTGAGCTAAAATACACTCAGGCCAGATATTCTTCTGTACTTTCCATCAGCAGGAGTAACAGTTAAGTTACCAGTGTGAGAAAGAGCTACAAAAAAGTTGAGCTGAAATCCAAGACTCTGCAGAAAGTAATTTTCTTCAGAATTCACCTCCATTTCCCTTACTTCTATTCTCTGCCACGCTTACACACAAGAAAAAATGGTTCTAAAGCCAAATAGCGACAGAAAACCAGTGCTGAAACTGTGACCCTACAAAAAGCAGACTGAGTAGGCCCTACTCCCTGTAACTGGAACACTTAGGAAAACTGTCAAGAACAAAGAGAGCAATTTTGTGGAGTCAGGGGCAATAAGCAGGCAAGCAGCACACTGCACAAGCTCTGTGAACCTTTGGAACCCTGAGGCCATAATTTCTTCTTCAAGAAGAGTGCTCCCCACTCCTAAAACTGAAGCACTCTCATACTGTCAACTCATTTACTAAACCTTGTTATTCCATCTGAAACACAGGGCCTTCACTACTGCCTCACATTTCAGATGGTCTTGTGCAGCAGCTCCCAGTTCTTCCTCCGTCATCCTGACAGATCTTAAATCTTGTCACTGGCTGTGCATTCTGAAAACATCTTTGGTCTACTCCAATGCATCTCACCTTAAGCAGTCCAGCCCAAATGCTTGTCGATGTTATTTGTGAATTCCCTCCCTATTAGCCATCTCTCTTTTAATTCCATTTAATTCTAGTCATGTTGACATCTGACATGTCCTTCTGCTCAGCTCGTAGGGCAAGTATTTTTCTGTATATCAGAGATTATAGATTCTTCTATGGCAGCTGTTCATAAAGATTACAAACAGCATGTCTTGATAATTATGTTTAGATATGCCTGGAAAGCACTGGAGTTAATTCATAGGTATTTGTTTGCAGGACAAGGCTGTTGCATTTCCTTATCAGCATCAGGGTTACAATGGCATGTCTCGCTTTTGTACGTATGGTTCCAATACTTCTATCTTTACTCTCAGTTACGCTTACTATTCTGCTCGAGTTCCTGAAATGGTAAACAGGTTTGGGTCAGTCTCAGAAATTATTATTAGTGTTCTTCACTACATATCAGATTTCAGAGTCTTAAGTATCTGGGTGTTGATTTGCAATCCCATTGACTTTACAGAGGTCTGGAGGTCACTCATTTTGGCCTGCACTTCTCATTGCAGGAAAAAGTCATCAGAAAGGTTAAGTCTCTGATATTCCCCTCTCTTGTTCTACTATATTTCTCTTCACAGTTATCTATTACAAAAAGGAAATTATGCAATACCTCAGTTATTTCAAATTACTTAGTCTGCCATTGCAGACATATTAACTGGTATAATAACCTTGTGGAAGCCTCAAATGATGTTCATATGTTTCTGAAGGACAGCAGAGTAATCCAATGACTTCCACAAGATGGATCTGCCCATCTTGTGGATTTCTTAGCTGTCTTTAAGGGATTACATAAACGTCTGACTACCGTTCCTACGACTGTTTTATGGAGACAGACAGGCTTATTCTTTAGTCTCTGCAAATTATTTTCCATCTCCAAACAGTAACATCTTAGTTATATAGCTTATTATTTTCTGTAGTCAAAAATAACACAGAAATAATTTGAGACTTATCAAGTGTGAATGCCGTCTCTGCACCTTTAGGTGTCATTAGGGTCCTCCTTCTTTGGTAGATCCCCTATTTTTATTCTTATTTTTTACCACATTTTGTGGCTTTTTTCCTTGCATTTTTGTAAGGTATTTATCATTTGTTTTCTTCTCCTGTCCTCAAATCTGTTTCAAGGACTTTTACAGGGCAATATCTCTTCACCTTTCAACTACTCACTTAGTTTCTACTCCACTGATGAGTCCTTGTTCAATGTTCAGATCACCTCTTATTTTTGTATCAGGGATTGCCCATTGCCTCACCATTCAACAAACAGATTTGTCATATTTTCATTAAGTTGCTGATACTATGCTGGACAGCTCACTTGTGCTTTCCTTTTTTAATTGTTACCCATCCAGAGATGTTACACTAAGTCGTCCTCGTACAAGTCTTCTTACAAGAAAGTGTAGAACTGTGTGTGTCAGCAGCAATTATAACTACAAAAGCTCAGTTCTATTTCCTGATATTATTTTACCTCAGTTAACCTCAGAAATGCGTAGAGGAAACTTCTACTGTCTTTCCATTATATGAATCTGCAAGAAACTATTACTTCTTTGCATCACTAACCCCTGTTGGATTGTCACCTGTAGGAAAGCTGTATTGTTCAGCAGCTTTTGATATGGCTAACAAATAGAAATTCATTTTACTGCCACAGACATAGCCTTTAGAAGGTCAAATAAGCAAAATATTCAACACATTTATCACCTGAATAAACCCAGTCATCCTCAACTATCAAACTGATTCTATTCTTAGACATCCTCTCAGTGCCTGAAGCACAGCAGAACTCACCCTAAAATTTTGCCAAGTATCAATTCTGCTTGCAGCTGAAAGAATGGATAGCCTTTAGCTTGCACGGATTTAGTAAGAATTTCTCCATACCTGCATGCTCAGGGGGGTTCTCTGGGCCAGGGAAGAGCGAAAGCCCTTCCTCCTCCATCTCAAATACACTTGCCACCCTCTTCCCATGATCCTGTGTGCTGAGTTGAGTGGGACCCATGGAGGCCACACAGGGAGGGCTCACTATAATCTCATCGCTGAAGCATTGCTACTGCCGAGTAAGGGGCTGCAGGTGTCTTTCTTCAAGGTCTTTAGTTTCTCTTTGCTACTGAAAGTCAGAAAGGAAGTACCTGTGAGGAAAAAAAAAAACACAGATGCAAAAGACATAAGAGTTCAACTACTGAGGCGATAAATCTATTACAAGCTGTATTACAAGCAAGCTTCAAGATTTTGTTTCCTTATTTATTAAAGGGACAATTAACTTTGTTTTATCAGTGTTTATGCTCTTGAAACACAATATTTTAAACAAACTGTGGTAAGAGATACAAGATTAGCACACCGAGGCGCAAAACTGTCTTTTTATTGCAAAGATATTTATCAAAGTATAACAAGTCTTCACTACTGCTAACACCACCAGGGGACTTCAGCCCTGACCTCTCCAAGTATGTAAGAGGGAAATTCCAGACTTCACAACCGGTAGCCTTTGTTAAAGCTTCCAGTAACAAATAGCTCATTGCTGCCAGCTGCCCTGGATTTTGTGGCATGTACTGCGGAGCACATAGAAAATCGTAAATGACAATTTTGATACAGTTATTTAGGAAAGACTACAGAACACCCATTTTTGCTATTACTACCAGTAGCCAAAGGCTGTGCCAAAGATCAATGATGTATCAAAGATGAGGATGACAAATCCTCCCCTCACCTACAGCAAGAAATTGAATGCCAGCATCATACCTACGGGAAATGTCCATTATGCCACCCTCAGGATATAGATTCACCACCAACCTTCTGAGGATACCCTTTTCCGGAACCCAGAACCCATACTGAAAAGCATCTTTATTACACAGCACTAACTACAGAACCTGAACCTGAAAAGCAAATCCAATCACTTTTTCCAAAAAGCCCCACCTGCACAGAAAAAGGCCTTACTGGTTTGGCTGCACAGACTGAGCGAAACTGATGCAAGCTGCTAATGTAAACACCCCTAATCTGATTGAACATGCATTTGATCAGTTGATCTTAACTCAGTGATTTACCAATGCAAGCTAAAGGGATTAACCGATTTAAAAAGCAACTACGTTAAAGGCCTGTACCAGTTTAACTTGAGTGACTGAGTTCAAGAGTGGAAGCCTACCACTCTGAAAGACAGGAGGTGACAAAGCTGTGCAGCAGCCCAGATACAAAAGCACCAGGTAAGCAGGGGCATGCCTTACATGCTGCAGCGCTGACTGGGAAGAGGCAGAGGACCAGTCCCAAGTCCCTTCTTCCCTCCTGGGTATTTGGACCAGACCGTGCAACTTTTCTCAGAATGCCAAAGGAAAAGATGAAAGCAATACTTCCACAAACCACCCCCCTCCCAGTACTCCAAACCAGTCATCAAGTATAAAAGCAGTCATACTGTCAAGGCTGCTGAGCTCCTGCCATCTCCCATTACACTGTGGCAGTGCAGGTGTTAAAAACCACAGGGCACATTCATTCACATGACCTTTCTAAACACAGCCTTAGACAGTATAAGGAATTCTGAGCTCCCTAGCCTTTGGTGCACGAAGCCACTGTTGCTGAAGAAACAGATGATCCAGAATAAAAGCAGTGGCAGCAAATATGAAACTCAAAGCCACAGAAAGAAGTAAGTCCTATTGTGGGAGACTACAACCTAACCGATGTGATTTGCAACCAATTCAGAGACTCACAGTCCTCAAAGAAACAACATGGCTATTGCAACCAACTTTTTTTTTTTTTTTTTTTTTTTAAAAAGTCTCCACTGTAAATCCTGCAGCAACTGAAAACCTTGTGGAGAGGCATAGAGCATCGGATGGAGATAGAAACTTCACTGAAACAAACCCAAACCCGATCTGTAGTCCTAGTCCCATATAAGCTCCTCACTGATGCCAATACCAGATGTCTCTGGACATGTTTGGGCACGAAACAAGAAAGCTAAGTGTACTGCCTCAGTGCATCTCCACATTCCTTTAAACCACGCAAAAGACTCATTCAAACATTAATTATTGTGCAGAATGAATCACCAGCAGCGGTACTGCAGTAATTTTTCAGAGGAGTTTGATCCCCCAGCTGAAGGATGAGTGACAGTGCTCAGGCCCCACTGCCTTCACTTCAGTGACCCAGTCTTGTTGCATCCCAGCCACAACTGCAATGTAATCTGGAAAGCAAAAGAGGAGAGTACAGCCTGATGGGATTTCAAAACTGTGTCATCCGCACAACCGTGACTGACATCTGCAAGAGGGAAACCTGCTGTCAGCAGGACATCTGGAGCCCAAAGGGGAGTTTTTAAGAGACTGGGGACTTCCTGGCAATGTCTGAGAAGTCTGCAGCTACCAACAGGGAGGGGAGTATAAATCCATGTGCACACCCAGGGCATGGCGAGGTGTAAGGCCTATCAGCCACTATCTTCATGCTGTAAAACCAACCCACACACTCCTACTTTGTGCACCAGTCTCCAGCCTTCCTAAAACAGAACGGGCCAGACAGGAGAGGCCTCTTGTCTTCTCTCTACTCCTAAGACACAGCATTTTTTAGTTTTGTAGATGTGGCAGCAGTTGCAGGCTGTGGAAAACTGACCTAATTACAAACAGCAGCACTCTGGTACTAGGTAAAGATACCTAAACTAGCATTTTTTTTCCCCACAGGCACACAAGTGAGAGACTGTATGTCTAGGACAGGAACTTAGTTTTCACAGATTTCTGTGAAAACCTTGTGGTTTATATTTACATGAGGATTGTTTTCACACGACTAAAAATCTTGTTTTGTAATAATAATCACATTATTAGAGGTTCACATCTTCCAATTTGCACCACCGCTTCAACTAAAAATGTAGAAGGGTGATGCAAGCCGTAACTGCAAGAGGGAACACTGTCTTCTTGACATAATCTGCTGTGCTGCCTCCCACCGTCTGTCTCAACTCTGTCAGTTTTAGAAACCAGGACTGGCCAAGTGACAAAAGATGAAGCAATCACTTCTCTCTAACGCAGCGTCTAGAACGGATGAACCTCATGAGCAGACATACTCCAGTGAGGAAGCACATAGAGATGAAAGGCTAAGGGAAACAATTTTCTGCCAGCCCTTGCCACCCATGTCTCAAATAAGACACTAAGCACTTCTGAAATGTGTCACCACTGGCTTTGCCCTACTCTATTTCTTCCCTCTCCCTTTCTTTTCTGAGGCAACAGAACAACTCTGATAGCAATGGTCTCAGGAACAGCACTCTTGCAATGGAAAGTAATTAAGAGAGACCAGAGGTGGCAGCCCTGGCTCCTGCACCTCATGGTAAGTGCCAGAAATGTTCCTCACTTCCTCCAGCAACCGTCTCATCTCATCCCATTCTCTCAGCTGAGTCCTCTTCCAAGCACAACTGAAGCACTTATGCACTCTTCTGGAAGTCTTTGATCTGACCTGTCATCAACAGACACAAAGCCTAATTTCTGCCTCACATTCACTGAGGACAAGTAAAGGAGACAGCATTGGGCAGTGCACCACAGCACAGAGAAACCAAATGAGCCAGATGCAGACACTTCTGCTGAACAGTCTGTCCTCTCCCTGGTATTCCTTGTTTGGTGCTTTCTGTGAGAAGTTTAAGGATCAGGAACCAGACCAGATGTAAGCACATCTCTGAAGAAATTGTACTGTGGAGTGCAGGAATAACCAGAGGAATAGCACAATGAGCCCTTTACCTCCAAATACTGGATGCTCAGAGGAAACTGTAGCTTTTTAGGAAGTTTGCACAAGCTTCTGGAATATTTCAAAACAGGATTTACTGGTCAGAGTCCTGGTTCTATAAATTACAAAATCCTACAGCCTTCTGCCAAGGGAAAATATATGGTTGTTTCAATTCTGTAATGAATCACTTGTGCACTCTTTAGCATGTCAGCATCAGCAAAAGAGACCTTAAATTTGTATACATATGTTAACATGACTGTGCTCACACGTCACACAGCTGTGTATCAACAGGACTGTGCCTTTGTGCATGGGCCTAACAGGCTGTTGAACAAATGCACCTGATAGGAAGGCCTATCTTTCAGAGGTACCTAAAGCAGGGATATAATTTGGCATTTTGGCTTCTAAACGTGTTCTGACAGGCAATATAAGTGCTAGCGCCCAATCTGAATCTACCTCTGAAAGGCGGGCTCATAACGGTGCATAAAGGTCTCCACTGAAATCTAAAGGCCCAACTCACACAGTGGTGATGCTACCTCGAGTATCAAAAGCTGGCTGCAGATCAAAATGGCCAAGATGACAACCTGTTGGACTGAGAACACACAGGACCGTACAGCACCAGCACAGAACAAAGTCCTTTAGAAGACACCACTGTTCCAATCCTTTCATAAGGAGTAGCCAGTACTTTGTGACCTAATGTTCTTCCTATACCGTCTCTGGCGTAGCAGCCAGAGTATTTTGACAAACCTTCCCAAGGAACTTGGTACTACCTTGTAGCTGTCTCACAGAAACAAAGGTTATTCCCAGCTCATGTTGGCTCATTCCTCTTCCTTCCCTCTGCATCATCACATTTCTCAAGAAACGCTGGAGCACCTAGTAGGTCTGTAAGTGGGGCAAAAGTACACACATGACAGGTTTCAATTAGGAAAAAGTTGAAAGAGACACTTGTACCTTTCAGGGCAGAAAAAGAATCCTATGCAAATCTGTCACTCTGAAAATGAAGTAATATTACACGTGAAGACTGGTAAGAGTCATGAGGAAAAATTATCAACTTCATATGTCAGTGGGAGGGACAAACCATGAAAATGCAAGGTGCACAAATCAATGTAACAGGACAGCATAAAGAATGATTTTGAACAGTATGTTTACAAAGAATGGAAAGAACGATTCTGTAACTCTCAGGGAACGGAGACTAGCTCTGTGCCCGCACTGTAAATCCCTCTCTACAGAGAACTGCAGGGACACTGCACATTATCCATTTTGATCTCTCAGAAGCATAAAAACCACCATGAACAGGAAGGAGTTTGCAAGCCACCATCAGTCCCAAACCAATAAAAAAAACCCCAAAACCTACAGCCTTCTGACTGCTTTCATTTGCTGTCGAGCTAAGCTTCAGCTGCCCATGAGCAGCTGCTCAAATGTGCAGCACTGGCTTGTGAGCCTTGCAAGTTGTTGCCACCTCTGCCAACTATGCAAGAGTCCTATCAGTCACTCCTGGCTGCGCAGCCTGCTCCTCAGGAATGGGCAACTGCATTCTGGTCTCTTGCCCTCAAGTTAAGGGTCTTATTCCCTCTCTAACTCTGAGTTTTAGAGCCTGCCTCCCCTCACCCCCACCTTACTTCGGCTTTTACTCCACTGCTGATCAACTCCTTTATTAGCCATGACTTTGCCAATTTCTGGCATGGCCTTTGCTCACATATTTGTCTCTTCCTTTGAACTGGTGCATCCCTGAGCTCAACTGGGTTCTCGCTGCAGCACCAAGCTCTCATTGTGAAGATCTCCTTTGGCTTTAGTCTGGTCTCAACACACAGCATGACTTCTTCAACCCAGACCAGGTACAGATGCCATGGCAGAGTTCAGAGAACAGCAGCAAAAGTAACTAACAACTGAATAAAATAAACAGATGTGTGTCACTCAGTTGAAAGGGTTCTGGGAAGAGAAGCAGGAAGGTGTAACGATGGTGTACAGCAGGATCAAAGACTTTATTCTGAAAGATGGTATGCCTAAAAAGAATAGAAGGAAACCGAGGAAGGGAAAGTCAGGCTATTACAGAAAAACACCCTAAAGGTGAGTTCTGCAAGACTGGAGGGCAGTCTCCATAATGTTCCTTCCAAAATTAGACCTTATATTACAACTGAAATGCAAAGACGTCTGCAGACATTTCTGAACCTGGCCCTAATATGACTTATGATGCTCTTGACCCACAGAATGTGCTATTATAAACAAACAATGGCATCAACAGAAGTCCCAAGCCAGTTCCACCCTACCTCAGGTAAGAAACAATAAAGTCTCTATTGAACAAATTGGTTAGCAAAGTGAATTAGAATCATAAGGCACAACTGTACTACCAAACAGAACACAATAATCCAGGGCAGAATCAGCCCAAAATACTTTTGCTTTGCTCCACATAAAAAAAAAAACAAACAAAAAAAACCCACACCACACCACAACAACTGAACTCACTCCTTGTCTATGATCATCAGAACACAGGATTTGTTTCTTTCCATCCTGTGGATTCCTCCATTTGGGAACAGGGCTTCCCAAATGGTGCATCAGATGAAGATAGAATGTGCTGACTCCAGTCCCACCCAAGAACGTACAAGCTCTGCAAAGGAACTCCTCACCCCAACAGCAAGTGTTTTACAAGAAGTCAGCTCTCCTGTTCACATGCCTCATCCAGCAAGAGATGCTCCCTCCCCTCTTGCCTGCCTCTCATCATTTCTTGCTTGTCAAAGGCTGAGGTTTTGGTTTTGCCCTTGTCTTCACCTTTTAGTTTCTGCCTGATCAAAGAGTGCCATGTTAACACAAGGAGCAAGAGGAAAAGAGAGTATATGTGTGGCTGCTTTCAGGGTGGGTAAGATGGGCTGTGCCTTTCTTTTTCCTCCCTCCATCACTCCCAACTGCCAGATGTCCTTGGCCCTGCAACTGAAAGGACGAGAAACGAGATGAGGTTACTGGAGTTCATTCATACTGTGCATGGGACTGCTCTTGCCTCTCTTCCTGTTTGCATGGAAGTATCAGTCCCTCTGACAAAGGGAGAGAAGAAAGGGCAGAGTGGGAGAGAGAGAGGAGATGATGGTAAGAGAGGATAGACTTTTCCCTGGTTAACGAACTGGAAATGAGTAACAAGTGATATCAGGAGTGATGTGGCCACCTTGCTGCCATGAAATTCCTTTAAAGGCCATTGACACAAGTTCCTTTGAACTCTGGAAAACTGCACAAGCCAGGTCTGGGTAACAAAGCTCCAGTCCCTTCTAGGCTTTCTACTGTCACCTCAGCTTTCAAGCTTCTGGCTAACCTAGAGCATAACTACCTCAGGAATAGCAAAAATGAGGGCATGCGCTGGGTTACAGCAAGGAAGATGTTACAGTAGCAGCATTCCCCCACCTTCCCCTCCCCTCCAAGCTGTCTTGTAAAGTGACAAGTCATCCTTTCTCAGCTCTGGCCAGATGAGCTGTGAAGCCAGTGTCCCAACATGGGGAGCAGACAGAGCACAGCCACTTTGGAGCGACACCAACTTCTGCAGCAGTGCAGGCACAAACATGAGCAGAACTCGCCATTTGTAGTTGAACTGCAGTAATCCCCCATGCCTGGCTGTGAATACAGCTCATCGACAGCTCGACACCGCTATCAGCACCGACCTTCACATGGCAGGAAGCACAACTGAGGCTTTGACAGGGGCTTCCAACAGGAAAAATCCCATCTGTGCTCCTCCCAGGAGAATGAAACACACAAAGCTGAGCAGCTGCCCCCTCCTGCTAGCAGAGGAGCAAAGGGCAGCTCTCTGAAGCTCCTTGGGAAGAAGGGGAAGGGAGGGGATCCAGCCTGGAGCCTTGTCTACAGAATATGTTTGTCAGCATCAGCTATAACAGCAAACTCTCCCTATGCAAACTCACTTTAAAACGGCAACAGCATTCTTTTGCCAGCATCACTCACAATGTCCCCAAGCAAATTAAGCTATCCTACCAGTAAGTCTTTTTTCCCTTTGCACATCTAAATGTACCTATGCAGAGGTGGTTTTAGTTTGCGTGTTTGTTTTTCTTCCTAAGGCTAAAGGTATCATTCTTTTGCACTTCTAACCACACGACCAGACACATACACACAAAAAAAAACCAACCCAAAGAATAAAATCAAACATGAAAAGTGTTCAAGCAAGTGTAGCAAGACCTGCTTTGGAAAATTAAAGCTGAAATGTTTGCAACTCATTATTC